TGTACCTAAACATGGTTGTTATTGCGCATAGAGAAAGTAAACCTAGGAACATGATTTCTATCCTGGATTATACTACAGCATGCATATTACCCACCCCTTTTCACTATCCAACCCCAGAGTCGTTTACAAATAATTATTACAGGCCTTTGAATAGGAATTACATAACTGAAAATAAAGAAAAAATAAGAATTTAATTATAGGGAGCCTACTGAATAGGCCCAAGTCTCCAGGTCCTCAATGCCAAGTATTGTTTCACAACCTTTCTCATAATCCGGGTGTGTCAGAGTTCCCTAAGGACCTCAAGGGCTCCCGGGCAGTGGTCACACCCAGATTTCATAGCCAAGATAGAGTAAGTGGAGTATGGAAAGGCCAGCTTTTGTGTGTCAAAGTTTGGAGGGAGCTCAAGGGTCCCAAGGCAATGCTCACACAAAAGGGGGCAGAACTTAGTGTTCTAAGAGTAGAGTGAGAGTGATCGACATAGTTTTGAAGAGTTTGAGAAAACAATTTTGAAAAATGGTAAGTAAGAAACAGTTTTGACAAAGAGAGACTTAATTGAAATAGTTTTATAACAAAGTTTAGCTTATGAAAACAATTTGAAGGAGCATGCATTCCAATCTCAGAACCAAAACAAAGTCAGCATCACACCAAAGACCAAGAATAGTCCAGCAAACACAAGCAAGGGAATGGGATTGGAGGGACAAATATGGAGCATGTGAGGGCAAACATGTAGCAGGCAGGAACATATATGAGCACACAATAAGAAACTCCTACAGGTTCAGAGGATCAGGGAGGACAGTAGGGTATTGGATTAGATTAACATATCAACACCAAACAACTAGGTCCATGATCAAACTAACGTACCAATCATGGGAATTCACATAAGAAACATGTACTAAGTATACAGAAAATGCTGGTCATTGACAAGTAAAGCATAACTTAACATGTAGAGGGAATTCAGGATCCTAATTGCATGTTGAACAGCAAAAATAGTAAATAAAAGCATATCAGAAATACAAGGAATTGTAACAGTAATAGAAACATGTTGGTTTGAGGACTGAAATCTAAATTAGAACATACCAGTGGTGAAGAAAGCGAAAACACAAAGCAGAAATAGTAGAGGCACAATAGCTAGCCTTGGATTGCAGCTAGCTAACTTAGAATAGTAGCAAGTAGCACAAAAGAGAGAATAGAGAGTTTTAGTTGTGTGAGAGAGAGTTGAACAGATCTTTTTTCCCGTATGTTATGCTAATGAATGAATAGAGTATATATAGTTTGAAAGCGGGCGGAACAATAAGGTAAAAATAATAGTTCAGCAGTAATTATCGAAATAAACCTTAATTAGAATCAATTTAGTATACAAAATTCCTTTAATTAAGGAATCATACTCAAACGGTAAGAAGCAGTAGCAAAATAAGGAAAGGAATCAAGTAAAGCTGCTTATAACACAATAAGGAAGTAGTACAAGTGTAATATAGGTATAGAGCATGCAATTAAGGTCAAGTTCAGAATCCCATTTAAGGAAAATATATATAAATTAGTTTGACAGCGGAATCAGACAGAGAAATAAGGCAAGAGATATTTCAAATTCTAGAAATCAGTAAGGAGATCCTCGAGTGTGGTTCTAATTACATGGAATCAATATTTGTCAAAGCAAAATATCACACATGAGCGGAGTAACATGCTATAGGCAAGGATAAATAGGAAACCAACCTTAATTAAAGGAATATCTCAAGAATCAGTAGAGAATATCATGCAAGATCGATGAAGAACCAATCGCAGGGATTCGAAGACCCACAAATAGAGAACCATACCAATTTAGGAGAAATTAGCATAAGCTCATGAGAATAAACAGATTAAACTCATAATAGACGAAAATTAGCAACTCTAACAAGCACACATAGGGTAAAAACCATATAAATCAGAACGTTCATAAATATATAGATTAGTTGAACATAGCACCCAAGACGAACTCAGAAACTTAAGAAACATTAGGGTTTTCAACGGAATAACTCGGATAAAGGAAAAGGCTCAAACAAATGTTTAAACACAGTGAGAGTCGTAGATTAATACCAAAAAAATCAGAAGAAAAGCGTTTTTTTTTTTTTTTTAAAAAGAGGTTAAAACCCAGTTGAAGATGAAGAGTTACTTTAAAAAAATTGAAAAAAACCTTTGAGAAAAACAACAAAAGCTCATAATATACACATATCTAAGACAGATCTAAAAGAAATCAGAAAGTCTTAAGAGTTAGGGTTTCAGAGAACCCAGAGAAGATGAGAAAATCTTAAAATGTTACCGGTTTTAGCCGAAAAAGTCATAGATCTTACTCGAACGGCCGGAGGTGGCCAGAAAATGGCATGAAAGACCATGGGTAGGAGTTGAACCATTCCAGATTCACCTGAGGACCTCAGGGTAGTGTCAAACTGGCGTAGGGTGAAGCAGAGGCCAGGAGATGATAAGAGGCCATGGTTTCCGGCGAGGGAGGTGGCCGGAGGAGGTGGACAGGGTCCATCGGAGAAGAGGGGAGAAGGGAAGGTTCTAGGAGAGGAACCAGGAGATAGGAGAGAGGGAGATAGGAGAGACCGGTTGAGAAGGAAATGGAGCGGGGGAGGGGGGGGGGTAATGGAGAGACGGGGGGTAGTCGATTAGG